TTTTTTGTATTTTTTTAAGTAGAGATGGGGTTTCACCGTGTTAGCCAGGATGGTCACTATCTCCTGACCTCGTGATCTGCCCGTCTCAGCCTCCCAAAGTGCTGGGATTACAGGCATGAGCCACCACGCCCGGCCCTTGTTTTTTTTTTGAGACGAAATCTCACTCTTGCCCAGACTGGAGTGCAATAGTGCGGTCTTGGCTCACTGCAACCTCCGTCTCCCAGGTTCAAGCAATTCTCCTACCTCAGCCTCCCAAGTAGCTGGGATTACAGGCACATGCCACCACACCTAGCTAATTTTTGCAGTTTTAGTAGAGACAGGGTTTCACTATGTTGGCCAGGCTGGTCTTGAACTCCTGACCTCATGACCCACCTGCCTTGGCCTCCCAAAGTGCTGGGATTACAGGTGTCAGCCACCACTCCCGGCCATGTTTTTTTTATTTTTAATTTTTGTCAGGGTCTTGCTCTGTCACACAGGCTGGCATGCAGTGTCACTTTCACAGCTCACTGAAACCTTCAACTCCTGAGCTGAAGCAATCCTCCCACCTCAGCCTCCCAAGTTGCTGAGGTTACACGGGTAAGCCACTGCACCCAGCTCTAACAATGTTTGTCCAGGCCGTGGCAAGACCTGGCCTACCACTGACGACAGGCACTCCAAAATGCCTCTTCTCCATGAGAGTCGGCGTCTGCCTTCCACACAAAATCCAAATCTTTGGGCCCTCCTTGCTCAACTTGACCTTTGTTTATGTTTCACAAAACCATACACTTGACGCAGCCCTGGCTTCTGCATTGCAGTCACAGCCTGATTCCCTGATGGACTTAGGTCCACGGCTCCCAGTGTTTTCAGAGACTGACATCTTGCTCCCAGCAGATGGCTCACCATCTCACCCCTTCTGGGAGATTCTTTTTATTGTTTCCTCTAGAGGGTTAACCTATTTCCTGATCTGGGCTCCCTTTGCCCTTCTATAATATTCATAACAGTGTCTGGACTATTGATAATAATATTGAGCCCATGGTAAGCCCAGATCGCAGGGTTGTTATCTCACCAGCATGCACCTGTGGGGCAGCACTGCTTGTTTACTACCAGCTTCTTTTTTTTCTTTTTGAGACGGAGTCTTGCTCTGTCTCCTAGGCTGGAGTGCAGTGGTGCGATCTCAGCTCACTGCAAACTCCACCTCCTGGGTTCACACCATTCTCCTGCCTCAGCCTCCCAAGTAGCTGGGACTACAGGTGCCCGCCACCATGCCTGGCTAATTTTTTGTATTTTTAGTAGAGACGGGGTTTCACC